GCACGGGCTCCCCCTGGTGGCCGGGCTGCCGCTTCATTCAGACAGGAGCTGGGGGTCCGGGCGCACCTGGCCTAGGGACTTGCTAGGAGGCTCAGCTTTAGATCCAAGCAGGAGTGGGGGGCTTGGGTCCAGGAGGGCTGCTGGAGGCACAGCTGGGGGGCTGAGTGTAAAGGGCCGGCTGAAGGCAGCTGGGTTTGCCCCCTAACTTCCTGGGAGGCCGACTGGGGGTACTCCTAGAGGGAAGGACTTGAGGGGGTTAGGGGTGCAGAACCCTGCCGCCCACCCCACTCCCATGGTATTTATCTGAGTACAGGAAAAGCTACTCCCACCCTCCTCTCTGCCCTCACTTTGCCTCACCCCTCCCTGGGAGCACTTAGCCAGCTAGCTAATGGGCCTCTTGCCGGCGGCACCCTCCCCCACCCAAGGCCCTGAGAGGCAGGGCGCCGCTGCCTCCCAGGACAACCCTGGTGTCCTGGCCTTCCGGGGTGAGCTTGGGAACAGCCCCCTTCAACGTGCTGCAGACCCCTGCAGACTGAATCTGCAGCCTGCCCCTGTGAGCCTGAGGCTGGAAACTGCCTGGGGATGCTGGTCCCTTGCCCAGAGAGCCAGAGTCTCTTAGGTGTCTGGAATCAGGGGGGTTGAGGACGGGCTCCACAGTGTCTGGTCCACAGCAGGTACCCTGAAATCTGCTTCCAGGGACAGGAGGAGGAGAAAGCACATGGACACGGGGCTGGGTGGGGGCTGCAGCCCCTCCTGCAGGGCTTGGCTGGGGGGGCTCCTGCCTGGGGGCCCCTGTGGGAACCCCCCCAATACAGAGACAGTAGCGGCAGCAGGTTTAAAGTAGAACTCATCCAGAGGGGCCAGCCAAGTCACCTAGAAACCCAGAAAGAGCCGAGCTGGTTCTGGGGGAGGAGGGGTCAGTCAGGGAGAAGCTAGTTCTGCAGGCCCCCTGTGCCCCCAGGCACTCAGACCCGGAGGGGAGCTGGGTCCAGCACTGGCCATCCTCAAATACCCCCATGCTGGGCACCAACTCTAACCTAGGGAATCTCCTCTTTGGCCTTGGCCCTGTGGATTGCATTATTATTTCCACCTGAGCCCAGAGAGGGGAACGTATTTGCCCAAGGTCACACAGCTTCAGAGGAGACTTCAACCCTTGGACTTGAAGGCTAGATCCCTTCTGCTTCTACTCCCTGCCCTTTAGGAAGCAAAGAAAGGGGGCAGGGCCTGTAATCCTGTCCTCTCTCCCCAGGGCAGCAGAGCCAGAAACTCAGAGACTCAGAGACTTGGGGACTCAGGGACCACAGACCCCACTAGGGCCATGTAGGGTGGAGATCAGCCTCTACATCCACAGACCTGGGTTCAAGTCCACTTGACCTCTTGCTACCAGTGAAACCTGGTCTCTGGGCCTCAGTCCAGAAGCTGGAGGTTGAGGACTGAATAAGCCAATGGATGGGAGAGATGTCCCCTGGCTATGAGTTTATCATCTGAGGAATGGATGGAAGGCAGGTGAGGGAGGGGGGTGCATCAAGGCAGGAAGGAGGAGCCAGAAGGAGAAAGGACAAGAGTCAGTTTGGGGCAGGAGACCTTGTCAGCCAGTGCCAGGACGAGAGCTTGGGAAGGCCTGAGTTGCGTCCCTAGACCTTGGCAGGGACTTCATAGAAGCACTGAGTAACAGCTCCTTGGAAAACAGGATGGCAGCCTGTTTCCTGGGCCTCAGCCTCTCCCTTCCCACCCCACCCACATGTCCCCTGAGGCCAGGTCAACCCCCATTAATTCTTGGACAAGATACTTTCATTTAGCCCTGATAATGGTATCGGGGCTCTTAGTAATAATGGTGGAAGGGGGACAGCTTGATGAAGGGAGTGGTCACTTCCCTTAGGACCATCCCCAGGGACTGTGCTTCAGGGAGGCACTGAAAACAGCCTTAGCACTCTGGTGGAGGGGAGCTGGGACAGCCCGATGCTGGGGGAATGGGGAGCGATGGACACACCCAGCCCCATAAGGCTTCAGGCAAAGGAGAAAGGGTGATGTGCAAAGTACCCAGCACTGGCCTCTCTGCTCCAACCACCAGAGATCAGGACAATCAGTCTCCTTGAAGAGGCTCAGGGCATGTAAGTGACTTGGCCATGGTCTCTTGGCCTACAGGGGTAGAGTCAGGATTTGAACCGAGTTCTTCCACTCCATATTGAAGAATATTGAATGTATCACGGACTACTAGAAGAACAAACATATCTGTCTTGGAGGAAGTACAGTCAAACACTCCTTAGAAGCTAGAATGGCCAGACTTCATCTCATATACTTTGGTCATGTGGTCAGAAGGGACCAGTCCCTGGAGAAGAATATCATGCTTGGTAAAGTAGAGGTCAGGGAGAAAGGAGAAGACTGTAGCGAGATGGACTGACGCTGTGGCAGCGACAGTGGGCTCAAGCACAGCAAGGACTGTGAGGCTGGCACAAGTCTGGGCAGCGTTTCGTTCTATTGTACACGGGGTCGAAACCAACTTGATGGCCCCTAACAGCAACACCAGCTTCCATCCAAGCTAAGATCCTGTGCAAGGCAGCCCAGGTGTAGAGGAGGGAGACTCCAGGCCACCAGGCCAGGCCCGGCATCACCAGCTGTTACAGGGTGGGTGGCATGGGAATGGACGGGGCAGAGACGAGAGTTGGCCCCAGCAGTCCAGGTTGGTCAAAGTGAAGAGGGGGAGGGGGCTCTCCCATCCCACCTCGAGAACCCCCAGAGGTGACCCCTGATATTTTGGGCAGCTCAGGCCTTCACATCAGCCCTGAGGAGAAGAGGAACTGGGTCAGAGAGCACCTTGGGGACAGAACGGGGCACCCAGGTCTTGCCCTACAGGCCCCATTCCTACAGCAAGCTGTGGGTTTTTAGGGGCTGGTCAGTATTTCATCTCTCTGTTTAGTGAACATCTCTGAGCCTCAATCGATGAGTGGGTTTGGAAAGCACCTGAAGGGCTGACTGGCCCTAGTGGGGTGAGGTGGAGTGAAGTGAGGAATTTGGACTTGGGCAGGACTCTCCTCCTACCACACCAGGACCTCTAAGAATGACGATCCCTGTGGAAAGGCACCTAATCTGTGAGAACAAGGGTTGGCCCTTCCCTGGCCTCCTAGGCTGGTTGAAAGGAGGCTAAGGCCAGAAGCAGGGGCTGGAGAGGAAACAGGTACCAGTTCACTGTGAGCCTGCCTCTCTCACCCTAGCCCCTCAGGGAGAAGCCCATTGCCCCTCACACACACACACACACACACTCTCACACACACACACTCTCTCACACACACACACACACCATTCTCAACCTCTGTCTTCTCTTTGTCTCTTCTCTTCAACTACAGGGTAAGCATCAGGAGCCCCAAGTCCTGAGTTCCAAGTTTGGCTGCAGCACCAGCTGTGTGATCCTGGCCAGACCCAAGCCCTCTCTGAACCCCACCAGGTGCACAGGTCTTCCCAGCATCCACCGCAAAGGTTTCCATGAGGGAGCAGGAACACAGTGCTTCTCAGAGCCTGACACCCTGCTTGGCACCATGAAGGGTGAGCCTGCCGTCTGTGGAAGCATCCCACCAGGAACTGCCCAATTTTATTGAGTGGTGTAGACAGGAGGCAGGACAGAGAGTAGAGACTTGGGGGCTAGAGTCAGACACCACAGATTTAAGTCTGAGCTCCACATCCATGTAGTCATGTGATTTCATCAAGGTCTGTGGTGCAGTAACTGAAACTTAAATGAGTGTTCTTACTAAATCTTCATCACTCCTTTCTGAAAAGGAGGTACAAAGGATGTCATTCATTCACTCATTAATTTATTCAGTCAATAGTTATCGAGCACCTTTTTGGGTCTGATGAAGTCCAGGTGCAGGGGGTTCAGCAGGGATGGGTCATTTGTCCCATACACGTGGGTTTGAAGCCAGTTGACAGACTCAACCCCAGGCATGAGCAGTGACCAAGGTCTGGGCTGTCTGGGCCCCACGGAGCTCACGGTTTAGAGATGGAAGACAGACAAAAAAAAAATGAGGGATAGTTTAAAGACACAGAAAATCAAACAGGATGGGTGAGTCAGCTTGAGAGGCATCGGTGAGACATGCAGGACAGAAGGAGTCGCAGGGCGAAGATCTGGGGGACAGTGAACGCGAGGCCGCGCTCTGGAACTGGCTGGATGCCGGTCTGGATAAGCGCTCGCTGTTATTATTATCATGACTCCCGACTCAGCCACTTCTCAGCTCTTGGTTTGAGGTTCCTCCTTTGTACCGAGGTTGCGGAGCACCGCGGGCCGCGCCCTGCCAAGGCCGGCCCTAGGAGGGCGCCCCAACCAAGTTCGGCGCTTTCCGGCCCGAGCCCAACGGGGGAGGGGCGGCCATGTGGGGCCAAGCCCCAGGAACTACATTTCCCATGATGCGGCTCTCCGCCGCCATCTTGGCCGGTGGGCGGTGGCTGCCAGGGGTCGGCACCTTCAGGCCGCTGAGCGCCTGTGCCCACTCCCCCCATCCTTGCCAATTCCGACAGGGGTGCGGGACTCCGCCGGGTAGGGCGATCAGGGATCCGGGTGGCTCCTACCTCCCTTCTCCCTCCTCGACCGTGGGGAGCCAGGTCCACGTGTCGGTCCATGCGGAGAAACCTGCTCGCCCCGAGCCGGCCAAGGACATAGGGACCCCCTGTCTCCTCCCCAGACCCCGCCTCTCACACAGTGTCCACTACCCTCCAATCCACACAGCCCCATTCCTGCCTCAATGGAGACGGAACACCAGTGTCCCTACGGGGGCGGAAATCCTGGTAGCCGGCGCTCAAAGCGCTCGGGTTTGAAGCAGGAAGGTTAAAGAGGGTGGCGGACAGACAGACTTCAAAACCCGTGACCGCCAGACCCTTCCCCAGCCCGTGCCCGAGGCGGGGCGGGAGCAGGGGCAGGCAGCCGGGCTGGCCCTTTAAGGGGGTGTGGTCGGGGGGCGGGGAAAGCCAGCGAGACAGAGAAAGCGGCT